ATGACATAATTGAATAGTTTTAAAAGAAGCTATGTGTCACACAAAGCCTAAAATATTTATTATCTGCCCCTTCCTTGAAGAAAAAACTTTGCTGACTTCTGACATAATAGGAAGTGGACATAGGAAATAAGCAAATTTCAAAGAAACGGAGATACAAATATTTCCTGGTCATATAAAATGTCATTTGCTCTCATTTAAAGTAGAAAGTAATTGAAATCAAGTTGAGATCATTTTTTTTATTCGTTATATTACTCAAATCCAAAAATGTTAAAACAGATTGGTTGGCAAGGGTGGGATGAAATAAGCACTTTCATAATTGCTGATGGGACAGTTACTAGGTATGACTTATCTAAGGGAAATGAAAGTACTGTACCTATAAAAATTATAAATACACAAAATTATTACTCAGCAATTCCACTTCTAAAAATTTAGTTTACAAATGTATTTATATGTGTGCAAATTGACCTATACACATGATTGTACACTATAATATTATTTATAAGAACACACACTAAAAAATGGAAACAAACTAGATATTCATCAACTATAAATAAATTCTGGTAACATACAATGTACCAGGATCAACACAATAAAATATTATGTAGATGTAAAAACAAATAATAATGCTCTTTGTGTACTGGTTATGAATTATCTCAAAAATATATGTGTATATTAAAAGTCAAGTAGAGAACAGTGAATAATTTTCACTGAGAAATAGCATAAACACATGTAATTTCTCGTTTATGTATAAATTCTTCCCTAAAAAGAAATGCAATAAAATGAAAATTTTTGTTGACTCTGGGGAAAGACATCAAGATAATTGAAATAGAGACTTAAAGTGAATATTTTCAATAATATGCATTCAACTAGGAAAATTCAAATGTGTGAATGTCTAACATTGTCAGTAATATTTACATTAAAATGTAAGTTTCATGAAATTTAAACTGTATGTAGTCTATGGTGCTTCTTGGATCTTTGGCTTATGTTTATGTCAGTTCTGAAAAATATTTATGTCCTTATACTCAAATGTTGCTTTTGCTTCAGGATACTCTCTTTCTGGAGCTCCAATTATCTGTGTAATTTCAGCAAATACCATAAATCTTTTAAAGATTTTTACTTTTTCTTTTTTCTTATTCTTTATCCTTTTATGTGTGTATATATATATGTGTGTGTGTGTGTGTGTGTGTGTATGTGTGTGTGTGTGTATATATATATATATATATATATAGCCTAGATATACTCTAAATTATTTTCCATTACTTTGATTCTTTCTTCAGTGTGTCCAATTTGATTAAACCTATGTATTGAAATTTTAATTTGAGTTATTTTTTAGTTCTGGAATTTACATTTTATTTTTCATAGTTTTGGATTTATTTCTTAAATTCTACACTTTGCAATTTAAATTCTAGGCAATATTAATCAAAATTATTTTAATGTCTGGGTATGCTAAATCCAATAGTTAAATCTTCTGTAAATCTAAAACTTTTGTTTTCTTTTTTCTCCTGATTTCTTTTCAATTCTTGTATTTTGCATTTCTGGTTATATTTTAATGAACATCATGAAAAATTATAAGGATAATTTGAGATCCTTGTTAATATCTTCCTGCCGAGAGTATTTAATTTTACTTCTTATTAAAGTGACCAACCATTTCAGTTTGTGGTTGAGGGGTTTCCCATGTACTTTCTGAAATAAAGCTAGAAAAGTCCTGAAAGAAAATGAGATGGTCAGTCACTCTAATTCTTACAGACAGAGTAGTAAAATTAGGTAATGAGATGATTAAAAATAACCTTTATTAGGCCAATCTATTTTTAATTTTCCTTAGTCCAAGGTGTACATTTTCTGGAATCCAAATAAATGCCTAGGAATTAATCAATCTCCTGGTCCATGAAGTTCCTTGTTTTCCAATTTTTGTCCTTCTTCCCTCCAGCCTTTTGAGGCTGCTGTAAGCTCTTCTCATTTTATCAGCTATTACTTTTAAAATGACAAATTCCTTAATGGGAAAAATGGCACAAAATATCAGGTTCACTTCTATATGCTTCCATTATCTTTAAAATCTCAGCCTTTATCTATCTATCTATCATCTGTCTGTCTGTCTATCTATCTATCTATCTATCTATCTATCTATTCATCTATTTTTTTTGCAGGTGAGGCAACCCTTGGTTGACCTCACAGATAGCAAGGACCTTGTCAGCTTACAATCCCTTATTTTTTATTTATTTATTTTTTATGCCTACAGCACCTAATCTTTCTAGGTGGTCTCCCATCCAAGTACTAACTGGGCCCGACCCTGCTTAGCTTCTGAGATCAGATGAAATCGGGGTTATTCAGGGTGACATAGTTGTAGATGGAATCTCAGCCTTTACATCCTTGTTGCTTTGGATGCTCTCTGAAGTCATTTACAAAATATTTCGCTAACTTTTCTAATTGTTCTTGGCAGAAAGATTGGTCTAAAATAAATTAGTATCTTTGAGGAATGTGAAAATGCTTATACTATTTCATCCATTTTTCTAAATTGTTCTAATTTATAATTTAGCTTCATGACTATCTGAATACAATGACATTGTTTTGCCTTGTTGAAGAAATAAAAGACCAAAGTAGTTTCTAAAGATCCAAATTTTAAGTTACTCTAGTAAATATAATGGCGGAAAAAGATGGAGCTAAACTATATTTTCTCCCAAAGTCATATTGGATTCTGCTCATTTATTCAATTTCATAGGCACTCAGAGACTTCTAGACTGCTCATTTGTGCTTTTCTAGGATTTTGTCTGATTCCAAGGTTGTCACTGAGATTGGGCCTCAGGGAAATAGAATGATAAAGATAAAAGATGGAGCTAGAAGAGACATTATGTATTGAGTTCTTTCTGTGATGGAGCTGCATTGTATCCATGATGACAAAAAATACCTACATTTTGTTGTAAGAGACGCCTGCAGTCCTGGCAGGATGCCTGGTGCTTGGAGCAACAAGGACATCAGAAGCAGATGTGGACTTGGACATAAGGACACATTGCAGGGAGGGTGCACACGCCCAACTGATTCTGGGGCTTCTTCTCTAGGGACTAAAAAAAGAAACTTAGGAAGAAATGGCTGAAAACATGGGGGTGGCCTTGAGGCTGAATCTGGGAGTTGGCTGTAGCTTGTATTTACTAACCTGATAGTAACTATTTATAAATTACAAAGCCAGCATTGTGGGAAACTGAATAAAAGCCATGGAGACAGAGGTGGGGGATGCTAGCATGGCGATTCCTCCTCTCCCTTATCCGGGTTAGTTAAACATTTCCAGACTCCAATTCTTCTTCCAAACCGTCTCCGCAACACATTTAGGATCTCAATGTCATCGATGGTCTTATGTGTAGGAGTAATCATATTTAAGAAGCTTGAGGATTCAACATGTAATCACAGGGAGAAAATGGAAGTGACTTCTCAAGATTCTCATTTTATGTCAAGCCACCAGACAACCTCCTTCCACCATCTCTTCCTCTACTTTTCTGACTATAGGATATCTTTCTCTAGATACTCTAAAGATATTCCTTCTTCTCCTCCCAGGAAATTATCACTAATTTTTCTGGTCATCTATGGGATAGCTCTTCCTGTGGGTTACATTTGCTTGGTTTCACTTGATATTTCTAAGTCTTAGTTCTCTGCAGAGTTCTGCCTTACACCAGAGAACTATGATTCTAGGGTATTGTTATGGGCAATTGAAGATTCCTAGGTAAGAATCTCTGCAAACAGGCTATTTGGAAAGCCAGAGGTAGAGTCACATAATTAACTCTTACAAAAATATTTTGGCTGTTTTTGGCATCTCTACAATGCACAATGCAAAAAACACTTAAAAAAAATTAAGTTTCTATTTAAAAACTTCATTTGTGTATTGAAGTGTTATAAGGTCTATTTAAAATTGGTTCTAAACATCACTCCAGGAAGTACAAAGCAGAGCTCTGCAGAGGCAGAAAAAAATTATTTCTAAGCTCTATGATGGAAGGAAGGGACCTTGACTCTTTGGTCATCATTTTGTCTCTAGGGCCTAAATATGTACCTAACCTACTAAACATATTCAATTAATGCTACTTGACTGACTAGTAAAAAGGATCCAAGGAGCTGCAGTTCTTGCTCAGCTGACAGTATAGTTAGGGGCCTAATAGCTTAGACTCTGGAGTTTGACCCAACCTGATTTTTGTGCCAGCTCTTGGATGCATAGGTTTGAGCAAGTTGATTACTATATTGAAGTACCGGTTTTTCATCTGAAAAATAATAATTGAATTAAGCCTAGCTCATAGGGTTGTTGTGGGTAATGACTGAAATAATAAAATCCCTAGTATACATTTGCACCTCAAAAGTCTTAGTATAAATGTAAATATTTTACATTTATAAAATGTAAATATTTTACATTATTTCTAATGTCTGTAAAGGAACGTCCAATCAGAAAGAAAATGTTAATGTCCACGAAAGGATGCTTGCCTTATTGAAAGATTCTGCATTCTGGATGGGAGACCTTTAGATTTTGCATAATGAACAAGATTTGTAATTTTTGGAACTCCCAACTTGGAGCCTTGGTGAGGTTGAGTGAATTCCACATCAGAGCCGATACTGGAAGGCCCCTTTGATCTAGCTAGTGTGTCCTCTTGGTATTGAGCTCATATAAACAACTCAAGAGAATGTAACCCATTTCTTTTCTCTTTTTTCTAGAACAAAGGGATCAATAGATTTTCCAGGACACCTTCTAACTCCTGACTACGTTTTCCTTATGGGGAGTGCTATGCTTTCATAAACAATCTTTACTGCATTCTTGCTCCAGTTGTGCAAGGTAATATAAAACCTCATGTCGCATAACATGTTCTGTCATACATAATCTTACCCCACTTGGACCGAACTCCAATTCAATGCCAGATTATAAAGAACCTCCTGTTAGACACCGCATTTTGAGATAATTCCATTTGCATAACGTGTGAGCTAGAACCATTTGGGATTATAGAAAAATAGTCCCTTCCTACTTTGTCCTTTGTCTAAACTCTGGATCTCTTCTCTGATAGTATTCGAACAATGCCACGACGGATCTCCTTAGTCTTAATGCTGTACACAATGGGGTTGACAATGGGTGGGAAGAATAGGTAAGCATTGGCCATCGTAGTATGCAGCACAGGGGACACATGGTGTCCAAAGCGGTGCACCATTGACAAGCTAATCATAGGCACGTAGTAAGCAAGCACAGCACAGACATGTGAGCCACATGTGTTGAGCGCCTTCCTGCGCTCCTCCCCAGTGGCAATATTCAAGACAGTGTGGAGTATAAGCCCATAGGAGACTACAATGAGCAGAGAATCCAGCCCAAACGTGGAGATAACAATGAAAAGCCCATAGATATTGTTGATAGAAATGTCTCCACAAGGTAGATGGATAAGGTTGGGGTGGAGGCAATAGGAATGAGAGAGGGCATTATGGCCACAGAAGGGCAGGCGCCGTAAGAGCATGGGTAATGGGGCCATGAGCATAATGCTTTTCAGCGCAATGACAGCTCCTGTGCCAAAGATGCGGGGCAATGTTAGGATGGTTGTATAGCGCAGTGGGCTGTAGATGGCCACAAATCGATCCATGGACATGGCCAGCAACACAGCTGACTCCATAATAGAGAAGGAATGAATGGAGAACATCTGGAGAAGACATGCATTAAAACTAATTTCAATGGTGTCAAAAAGGAAAATGCCTAGCACTGTAGGCAGAGTGGATGCAGAGACACCAATCTCAACCAGTGCCAACATGGAAAGAAAGAGGTACATGGGCTGGTGTAGGGCAGTATCTGTTCTGATGACGTGAAGAATGATGCCATTCCCAAGGAAGATGATAATGTACATCAAGCTGAAGAGAATGGATGTCCAGATGTGCTCTGCCTCCAGCCCTGGGATGCCAACCAGAATGAACGTTGTAGGTAAGAACTCCAAATAGCTACTGGAGTTCTTCATGTTGAAATCTCATCCATGAGATCAGTGTTACCTTGAAAATTAGAAATAAACTAGTGAGATAACATTATAATAGAAAAAGGCGTATGGGCACTGAGGAAGGAAAGAAGAAAACAGAGCTCATAGATATTGGTGGCTAAAGGTCTCATGACTGAAAATTGACTGATGACCACTATCAGGAAATTCCCACTGTTAAGGGGTTATAGTTTCCATCAGAGAGAAGTTCAAGGACAATAGAAAAGTATCTCTGTAAATTGTAGTTCATTGTGGATCTACTAAGAGATAAATGGCTGCCTTGTCTTGGTATGGATATGCCTGACATGTCCCATATTGTGGTTGGTATAGAAAGTTTCTAGGGAGAGAGGCATGTGTAGACAATCTCAGCATAAGATATGGGCCAATGTTAAGAACAGGTCAGGAGAGATATTACTGGTAAATATATAGATATAAGGCAAAGAACAAACAGTACATAAAAACAGCTGAAATACCTAAAAATGAATATAGATATATAAATAATTGAGATCTATAAGAAGGCTGAGAAGTGGCAGTGACCAGAACCTGGAATAAGTGACTGGAAAATTAAAGTAGAAAAGAGTGGAGCTTGGATTCATACTGGATTTAGCTATTCTGGGCTTTAAAAGGACTAGGAAGCAACTGGAAAGATTACATGTAAAAGATAGAATAAGGCAAGAACCAAGGTTGGTGGATTTGTATATAGACCTTAAGGCTCATGAAAATATTCTGTCATGATATATCTACAATCTTTCAACTCACAATTCTTAAAGACAGCCTACCTGATCCACTGAGACTTCTTTCTGGCTCAGATGCACTTCTGAATACATTGCAACAGAAACACTGGCAGGAGAGGAAGGCAACAGAAGTGAGGAGAAGTCTACCTCTCAAAATTGAGTATGTTTTAAACTCAGCATTGTGTGGGCCAGCATAGGAACAACGGTAGAATCTTAGGCTGACAGAGTAGGAAAGACTCTTGAAGGTATTTTTTAAAAAAACTTTCACACACACACACACACACACACACACACACACACACATTTGCTCACACACTTGCATATATACATATTTTCACATGTGGCTGAAGTCCTGAACTCTCCATTCAGTCACTGTTGGACTTACAGGGACCTCGCTAGTACATGCTGGTTATTATTAAGTTCTTCCTTGTCCTGCACATCTACAACTATCAGCACTCTTTTATGCCATGTACCATACAGGACCCTGGCAATGCAGAGTCCTGCCTCTACTCAAGAAATCTCTGGAAGTTTCAACCGCAGGTCAACGAACACATCTTCTCCCATGAATATTTAAATACCATCATCAGATACCCTGAAGTTTTCTCTCTAAGCTAATTATGTAGTTAAGTACTACAAAAGAAAAGTTTAAGATACAATGAGAGAGACCTGGAAGGAAAAGTCTAACTTATTTTTAAAAGTCAGGGAAAGCTTTCCTCAGAAAGTGGTATTTCGGCTGAGAGCTGAAGAATTAATAGAGTTTTTCCAGTCAAAATGGAGAGGTTGGATGTAATATGACACAGAAAATATTACGACAGTGGATATGTAAAACTCTACTTTGACATAAAAGAAGACATAGAGAAATGGAAACAGTTGATGTGCTAAGATATTAAAATTGTTGATGTTTTTTTATAATTTTTGCTTTCATGAAAATATGAGAAAAATTATTTTAAAAAGGTCCATTGTCTGCCTAAATACAGGCTCCCTGTGCACCTCTCATGGTTTGATTCAACTTATCTCAGCAAATGTTAGCTTAGGGAAAACTGTGCCATGGACTGTGCTCAAATTCAGGGTAGGTAAATTCAGGGACAAATTCTTGACCTTCAGAAATACACATGTCAGAAATTCCCATGGCTGAGGGAACTGAGGGTCACTTCCATTTCCCACTTGTTATGGCCTTGTCCATGTTCTCTCCTCACCTCCAAAAGCCCAATGTATCTTTCTTAACTCTTTAAATAGATCAAATATTGATCTGCCTTGGGTTTGAGAAGCTGTTCCTCTTGCACGTGACATCACTGCACCATTGATCCTATTGCACCATATTTCTTGCCGATATCACCCCAAATGACCTGATATTGGAAGAGACAAATCTTGAGGGATACTTGAACCTAGGGTTTCCACTCCCCTATTAGCCATGTTCTCTGCCTCTCCACCCTCTCTTTTAATCTTTTCTTCCTTCCTTCCTTCCTTCCTTCCTTCCTTCCTTCCTTCCTTCCTTCCTTCCTTCCTTCCTTCCTTTCAGATTTAGGAAGAGCCACCTCTGTAGGGACACCTGGACTTCATCTGGAGAAACAATTTTAATGGAATCACTGTTTTCACATTATAAAAGTGATATATAAATGCAAGGCGGAGGGAAGAAATTAACATGGGCTGCACGCCAACCTCGGGCCGGGAATGAACTGCATCAGGCACCTTAGATATTCAATCTTACTGAGTCCTCGATACCCTCCTGGAAGGCAGGCATAATTATCCCCTTCCTTTCTCTCTCTCTCTCTCTCTTTATTTCTTTCTTTTTCTCTCTTTCTCTTTCTTTCCCCTCTCTCTTTCTTTCCCTCTCTTCCTCCCTTCTTCCTTCCTTCCATCACTTTTGCTTTATTGCATCCTTCCCATCCTCTACCTTCAGAGTCTTCACAGCCAAACAGGGATCAGATCTCCTTCAAAAAGATATTCTCCTGAGTTTAGGATTTGTATAACAAGAATATTTTAGGTTGGGAGAAGTAAAAAAGACTTATTTAGTCTAAGCTCTCTGTAATAGAACACAACAAATCAGCAGAAAGAGAAGAATGTGGTGCAGTGAATACTATATCCTAGGACATAGATGGAATTGGAGATGAATGCTATGTGCAGTATAACTTTACCTACTTAAGCTTTGTGCAGATTTGTTTCTTTAATTTTAAACATAGAGATATTAATACTTACCTCAGAGAATGGTTCTGACAATTTCATGTGGGACTTGAGCAATCAGTGAGTGTTCGTGTCCCCCCATTCTTTCTGCCTTCTCTCTCAGGCATTCTCAAAAGGGATCAATCAAATTCAGATTATCCTCAAATTTCTGTTAATAATGATCTCCCCTTGTCATTGCCTTAATTATACTCAGAACTCATTTTTGAGGGAGACAAGGACATAACTTACAGATGAGCATATAAACAGGATATATGCACTGTGTAACTAACTCAAGATATTATGATGGCAAAAATATTTCTAGAATCTGACATTTTCCTCTAGTTTTCACCTGCCATCAAGTTTAAGAAAAGCTTCCTCTTGTTCTGTCTGTTCTATCTATCACACAGATTCAGGAAGCTAGGGGAGTGATTATTGATCAAGGAAAGTCTAGAGAGCTAATTTTGGGGTAGAATTGGGACTCCTTCTGGAAGCTGTTTTAGGAGATCATGGGACTGAACACTCACCACAAGCAGAACTGACCTCTGAGCTCACTTCATCAAGTCCATGGCATCTCGAGTCCTAGGGCTGTAATGCTGCTTCTCTCTTTGTAAACTGATCTGCTCTGGGATGGGGAGGAGTGGAGAGGGTTCCCTGAGGAGCAATTACCCAGGTAACTACATCACCTCTTTGCAATGTCCAGAGACTCTAAGGGAAAAAAGTAAGGGTGTAGAGTCAGTACCTCTGTGAAATGAGTATAATAATAGTATTCACCTACAGAGAAATAAAATAATTCATATGTGTAAATTGCCTAGAAAAGTGTCTGGTTCATAAAAAGTCCACCATAAGGGTTGGCCAATATTGTAACTATTATTTCCTGGAGAAAAAATATATTGATCTACTATGGCTTATCAACTATCACTTTAACAAACATGCATTTACCAGTAAAGAGCAGGGCACAAAACTTTTGGTATCCAGAGAACATCAAGGGTGTATAATATCAGGAGATGACAGAGTCCAAGGGGTTAAGCAATTATGAGAAAATTGCCAGATTGGGTTGGGGCAGGAGAGGGGAAGATTGATCAGAAAGATATAACAAATAGAGCTCCCAGTACAAGGTGACTAGAGAGAGTTAGCAGAAAATGAGTATATCCAGAACCCAATACTAAAGAGGATTTAAAATTGCAGAATCAGTGAGTTTGGATTATTTGTAGGTGTCTGGTTTGCTGGCTTATTTTCTGACTGACAATAGAAAAAAAAATGATTTGACTTAAAAATCCACCATGACCTATTAATAGGACTTTTAAAAGTTGTTCTGAAAATATATTTTTTTGTGCTGCTGTTTTAACAAGAAAGAAAGGAGCTCTGTGTAATTGGTAAGAAGATGCTTTAAATGACATGTTACATGGATAGATTAGATCTAGATACAAATAAAGTCAAGAGTGAGCTGAGACTTGGAGAAATGGATTAAGTGAGACATGGTTATAATACAGTCAAACAAATCTAGTGTGAATAAAATGTGATGCACGTACACAATAGAATATTACTCAGCTATAAGAAAAGATGAAACACTGCCATTTGTGACAACATGGATAGATCTTGAGATTATCCTGCTAAGCGAAATAAGTCAGACAGGAAAAACTGAGAACTATATGATTTCACTCATATGTAGGATATAAAACTGAAAGCAACAAATGAACAGGACAAAGAAAAACTTTAGACACAGACACAGTTTAGTGATTATCAGAGGGAAAGGAGGAAGGGGGGAAGTAGATAAGGGTACAGGGGGTTAGATATATGGTGGCAGAGATTTGACTTTGAGTGATGAACACACAATGCAATATACAGATGACATGCTATTGAATTGTATACTTGAAACCTCTATAATTTTATTAACTAATGCCACCCCAATAATTTAATTTAAAAAAATGAGGGAAGTTAGGAGATAAATGACCAGAAAATGAACAGAAAAAAAATACTTCTGCCTCATGACTAGGTCTAGTTGAATTCAATTCTACTTTGTTGAATTCAATTCTACTTTGACTTCACAACATGAGAAGCCAAAGTAGAATTGAATTCAACTTTATTGCAATTGAA